TATATCACCTTCAGCTTATGAGCCTCTAGAGCAGTCGTGATTAACAGGACTTTTACAAAGTTTCTGTGTAGTTACAAGGACAGCTTCAATCTTCTGTCATTTTTTTGCATTAGCTATGATTATGCTTTTACCACCAAAATGCATTTATTCTAAAGGTAACAATACTGACTCAGAGAATAGCTTATGTTTCATCTATATTTATCAGCACTCACTGTACATTTGTGTCTTCATTACCAGGAAATATTAAGGGACATTGTGCCATCTATTCCTGTTTACAGTTTATTATGCAGAGATAGGAAACACTTAGCATGTAAAATGAATGTAGAAATTATTCCTGGATAGAAACACGGACATTTCCCACTCGTTGGCTCTTTCTCCTCCATCACCGGATCAGAGTGTAATTGTCAGTAATCAGGCCTGCTTGCTGCTGATAAAACCACTCTGAATGCTAGCAGCCTTCTTTGTGTGATGACTCAATTATTCCAGAAGTGCCTCATCAAATCTGCCCCATCAGCTGGGCTAATAAATAAGGAGAAGAAACTGGCCCCCCAAAGCAAATTATAAATCCATTTGCATTAACCATTTCACTGGTCCATGATCTAGGCAGAAATAAGCATGGCAGATTGCGTTAAGCTTATTTGAATATGTTTATAATGTTTACAGCTTGCAACCTTTTTTTTTTTTTTTTTCACAAGGTGTTGGAATTATCGGTCATGAATAGCATCTAAATGCAGTTATGTTAATTACAGCAAAGCCTCTGGCATCTTTGAGGGATAGTTTGTTGCTTAAATCAGGTGAAAGTTAAACTCCTCTGCTAGGTGAAATATGATCTTGGCTTTGGAGTTACTGCCCTGTTTGAAAGAGAGGATGGGCGAAAGTGAAGTTTTTTTACAGATACTAGAAGGACAATGGCCTGCGTTACCAGCCTGTTTCACACTGCTAACATGACCTTCTGTTCATCTCATGGTAGAATAAAAAAAGATAAAGTTTAGCATTAGAGTTGAGAAAGAAAATGTGATTGTTGAAACAGCAATAATTCTGCTCCCTGTGTACTTTGTGCTGAATGAAACAAGTGCAAAGACGAGTACACTGCCCTAAGGAAACTCCTTTCTGAAGCTCAAATTACAAACCAGAAAAAAAAAAAATAGATGTTTCCAAGTAGAGTCCTGCAGATTTCTTGCAGGGAGGGTGTAGGCCAAATGATATTCAGTTACTCATGAGCTGAATATTTTACATGTACTTCAGGATCTCCCTGAGGCTTGTGCAGAACTTAATGTGTAAAGTCCGAGACTTCATACTGCTCAGGATAAAGATCTGACTGAAATACGGAGTTATCTTTATTTATTTGCTTTCATTCACATATTATTTTCTCAAATGCTAAATATGCTGCATTATTTTGTCTTGAGAAAGAAATCACTGTAGAAACACTACAGAAAAGAGAAGCACTGTAGAAGGAGAATTCACTGTAGAAGCACAAGAAATGTTCAGGGATCATAATGGTGAGCACATTGGATTTTGTTTCCTTAGATATTACTTTTATTCTGAGGTAACAAATCACAAACTGAAGACATTATTCATTACCACATTTGAAATATATTGACCAGTGATGTGATAAATGGGAGAAAATCAAATTAATCTGTTGGAAATGGAATGTATTACGCTTAAAAAAGCTTTTGGGATCTTTCACAAATATAGTACAGCTTTGAACATTGAAATTCTGATAGAGAAAACAACTTCAGACTTCTGCTGAGGTAATTTTGTGCTTGTACAATATGTCTTTTCGCATTTTAAAATCATCAGGAGCTCTGGTAATCTGACCTGAATGAGTGGACTTTTACCCACAGACAATGGGTCAAAAAAAATTGTTCTTTGAAGGGATTTGTCACACACATCTGATGTAGAGGATCAGGACCTAAACTGTCATTCACATCAGTATCCTGGTATGACTCATGGATCTCAGTAGGATGGCACTTCAGAGTCAGTACAAAATCATGTCGCACTGGAAATGGCTATAAACCAAGGAAAGAACTGCAAAGGCTCCAGGTGACTTCACTGAACAATTACACTGACAAATCAAGCAACTCATATACTCCATCTTTGTGGGTTTGTATAGTTTATTATTCTAGTTGAATTGAGATGATGGTTGAAAAGGGTGAAGGTTTTCTTTATAGACAGGCAGGCTTCACCTTCTAGAATAAAAAATACTGTTCAGACACATAGGCAGTTGAAGTATACGCATAATTTACGGTCTGTAAATTGTTTTGAGTTCTTGATTAAAAAAGAGAAATGAGTTAATGCAAGCCATGAATAGATTGGGCTAAATGAAGATACATCTGGACCTGAGGGGAGTGACCTCACCAAAGAAACTTGATTGATAAATAAGTAAGTTAGCTCTGCCTCATTTCCATCAACAATGATCTTATCATCAAAGCCACCAACAACCTAGTTAGATGTTCTCTGTGGGCTCTTGAGGCTGACATCTTATTTTCTCCAGTTATTATTGCAGATTTCTGCACTTCTAACAATACCTCAAAATCTGGCCCATGGCAATTTTATAACTCATTTACTAAATAAATGCAGTATAAGGCCTTGATATTCCTGTGAAATCAGCACCAAGCCTTTTTTGATACCTGAACTATGGGATCCCAACATTTATATTTTAAATACAACTTACTTTTTGGAGTGTGGACAGGGGTGACACATAGTTTATATTACATAAAGGGTATGTCACATCCCATGACACAGCATAATCCTACAGACCCTGTTTATAGCATGACAGATGTATGACAGTGTATTAGACTTTTTATGAAACACCATATCCTCAAATGTGGGTACTCACCCACGAATCAGCTGAATGGCAGCCAGCACCTTGTTATGTGAAAGGAATCAAACCCAGCACATTCAGACTTACTAACCAACAACTTCTGTTGTGTTTAAACACAGCAGAGGGGCACAAGTTTTTGTGTTTTGATGCTGTTATATGTAGTTTTTCATTAGAATTTTAAAACCTGCCCCCAGACCCATCCCAGTCCAAACTCCTTTTCTTATAAGGAAGAATTTCAATCTACTAGCTTATTATGTAAAGCTAAATGTGGAAAGTTTTGTATATTTTTCCTTGTCCTTTGTGCACTTTTCTAAGTGGATCTCAGCTGTGCTGTCTTAACTCTCGGTCCCTTAGGATGAGAGAGACAGCAGATGGGGTTAGGGCAGAGGGCTGATGCTTCTGACAGCAAATGGCCTGGTTGTTGAGTGGAAGCTGTGAGCGTCAGGAAGCTCCTTTTCCCCAGAGAACCAACTAACCACTGAAGAAAGTTGAAAATGAGCCCTTTGAGAAACGCTATTAAAAGTAGTAAAAAACTGCAATTGTGCAGATGATGTGCTGCTGTGTGGTTATTCGGATGCTAATGAGTTTGACATTAGGGAACTCAAAGGGTTTGCAGCTACTCCCTTATGTGATTTAGATCTTTATTTGCAATCTTTGAGAAAATAAAGGAAAATTATATTGTTAATAAATACTTAAGTTGTTAGAATTTTAGACAAAAAATCTGCTAAGTTTAAGACTTTAGAAAGAGCTTTGCTCACCATTATAATTATTCTCAGAGGTATTTTGTTTTAGGTTAGTGTGTTTTGAACAAAGAGGAAGAGGAAGGTGGAAGGCTTTGAGAATTTTGTGGTTTGGGATTTTTTTAAATGAATGTTGAAATAGAATAACATGAAAATAGGACTTTGGGGATAAACAGCATCTCTTTCTAGTAGCATGTTGGTTAAAAAAAGGATTAAAAAATCTTTTTGGTATTAGGATGGTTTGCTCTGGGTTTTCTCCCTTCTTTATTATCTGAAATCTATTGCTTGTTTCATTATTTGATAAAAGTGTACTGATTATAATTAAAAGTTCTTGATGGGATGAAACTAGTTCCCTATCTATTGGGATACAAGCAGAAATTAGTCACTCAAGAAAATGTATCTTCCCTGAGAATCTGTTTAGAATGAGCCTTTGCAATTTCAGAAATGTAACATTTAAAATTTTGTTGAAAAAAACATCATTAGCTATCATTAAAGAAATACTTAAAGTTCTGAAAATTTGTCAAACTTTGTCATAATTGGAATATCTTCAATGAATAGATGTATTTTACTAAATACACTGGATGATATGTGAAACAGACCTCTGAAGTCACAAACGACAACAAAATTGTAATGTTTTAGTCACTTGTGTTAGGAGCAAAACCTAAATAAAACTTGCCCTTTTCAACTACTCATTCTCAGATTCTTCCTGGTTGCAAGTGCCCAGAACTTTAAGTGCTAGAGTTAATGTGTAAGGGTTTGGATATTCAGTATTTCTGAAAACAAGGATCTCGGTGTTGTACACTTAAATGTAAACTTCTGCAGCTCTACTTCCCTCGCTGTCACTGTTGATTTAGCATAAAGTCCCTCACAGAAAGGAATAAAAATTGAGAATGGAGAAATGTCAAAGATTTCCTTAATCTGGCTTATACTGAGAACACTCTCAGCATCCCAAACTTTAAATTTTAGTGTTTGAAGTCGGAAAATATAAAACGGAGAGGTTTTCTTCTGTTTTTAAAATATTTCAGAATGCTTCTCATTTATTTTACATCATGAACTGAACCATCCCACTCAGTCAAAGGGGTTCTGATTCACTTAAAACATTTGACTAAGGATTTCTATGTATAGAACTGTAGATTTTTGTCCACACGAGACAAAAAAAACTTTTCTAAGGACAGGTCTATTTCATTAGCTATCAAAAGGGCATTAATGATAATAAAGAAACTACTATAAAAAAAGAAAAAACCCTGTTTTTATGCCTTTTAGAGTCATCACTGATGCCTTTACACCCTATCTTTGTAAAACTGCTGAGGAAAATATTGCACCTGGATTTTTTACCCATTTGATCTAAAGAGTGTCTTGTTTCATCTATGTTTTATTTAGCAGAGTTGTTTTTTTGTTTTCTTTTGTTGTTTTTTGTGTTTGTTTGCTTTTTCCAGAGAATGAATTCGAGGATTATCTGTTAAATCAGGCAAGGCATCTTGGGCTGTGTGACAAATTTGGTCCTTTGGAATCTGCACGTATTTTCACCTGGAAACACGCAAAGGTGGGATAATTTATTTACAAAAATTAATTTGAGCAGAAATATGACTATATATTAATAATAGAATATTACATGTCATGCCTCATACATTAGGGCTACTTTTCTTGCTTAATATCTGTTGTTTTAAGAAAAGTCTTCAACAGTTAGGTATAGCAGTATTAAAAAGTTGGAGGTAAAAATTTTTGCAAATATGAAGAAATTTTAGTTCTTAATTTTGTGAATTACACTCTTTTAGCCATACATACTGTCAGTAATGCAATCTTTGAATCTATATGACTCTAGGAATGAGAATATATTTCACAATGCATGCTAAAATTCAATCTTTGATAACTTATTAGTGATTTATATATATATCTATAAAGTTTATTGTTTGCGGATTTTTTTAACTATATAGGAGTTGGATGGGCTAGAACTTTTGTGTACTTAAAAAGATCTCAAAGTATCAAAGCTTTTCTTTTAATATTGACTCTTCTAAAAAAAAAAAATTGTTTAATATCTAATAGCACAGGAAATAGTGACAAGACTTTGAACTACATAAAAAATAATAATCTAGGAAGAAAAACCTCCAGAAAGTAGCCTGAGTTGAGCTGCATTTCAAGTAATATATTATATATTTTTTTCTCTGAATTTAAAAAACTAGCAGTTGTCCCTTAATTTCATGAAGCTGTGACTCTGCCCTCTAAAGCCTTGGTAAAGAAGACTAATAGAAATACTTGGCACATGTTGCTTACCCAAGGGAATAATAGAACTATTTGCTGTAGTCGTTTGGCAAAAGGACATAAACATATGGCTTTGGTTTATATTCAGCACTGCCAGTTGTGCAAAGTTTCATGGATGAAGTATACAACAGCAGTGACAACTCAGAAATCAGAAGTGAGAATCAAAATAAATCATCCTCATTACAAAGCTATTCAAGCTTGCCTCTGATCTAAGGCTTATTTTGTCTCTGCATATTTTCAAGTAGTGAATTCAATATAACAAAAATCTACTTCTCAAAACCAGATACACCAGTCAATCACACTATAAAATGCCAAATTGTTAATGATTTATATGTGTTATAAACACGCTTTAAAGTTTGCATTTAGTAAATGTACTTATTTTAATTCCCGAGAAATTCATAGAGCTAAACCAATTATTTCCATGTCATTCAACTTTTTCCTAGAGAAATCAGGCACAACACTGAGCAAACTAAAGCAAAAATTTAAAAAATAAGGATGCAATAACTCCTTACTTAAGAATAGTCAAAATCGCTAAACAAGACATAATTTTAGTGATAGGCTTTAGGAACATATTTCTAAATATTTTTCCTTTCTGATCATTAACATATTATTAAAAAAAAAAAAAAAAGAAAAATAGAAAAAAAACTAACTACATTACATGCAGTGTTCCTAAAATATTTGGATTTGGATTTTGGATAATTTTACTGCCAGAAATGAAAATATATAACTTTGTCTAGAAGCTGTTATATGTGTTCTTGGCTTTTCTTTCACTCACTATACTTCTCACCGTCAGTGTGAGATTACAACTTCATATTAAAAATGTTATTGTAGACTAAGAGAAATATTCAGCACACATATACACATACAGAGAAATAGTGCTCTACTCTTCTGGACGGGCTATAGGAAATCTTATTTTCAGATTTATTTTAAAAATTGTTCCTCTATGACTTTATTCTCCTTTCATATGGTAGAATCTTACATGAGTTACTGAAAAGAAATATCAAAATATGATTATGAAAACCACTGAAAATCTTGTTCTGAGGGTATTATTTACTGCAGGGAGAAGCACAGAGTGTTGTGTCACCTTGGGACAGTATAGCACCGTCCTGTTCATTGTCCTTAGCAGAATCTGACTCCAGCTTTGAAGTTTTTGGCTTGTGTTGGAGACTTGAGAAATGATTTCTGTGCTTAAAAAATCAGAGAGGTTTTTTTCTTCTAACTGAGTTCCCTAAGCTTGTGACTGATATAGCTTTTATCTCAATACCAAATTATGTAATTAATAAATTAAAAATAGTAGAGAAAAGTTATTCTTTTTCCAGACCTCTCAAAATCAGATAAAGCTTGTCTTAGTGAAATGATTCCCCAAATTTAATTTTGAAAGTCAGGTATAACTTTAAGTTGGAAACTCACAGTGCAATGGTAAAGCTTATACTCTTTAGATAAACTGGCAATTTCTATTTCTTTAGCTAAGTATGCAAAAGGAAACAGACTGAAACCCCAGCAGTCTGAAACCCACTCTGGGAAAGTCATGCTTGTATGAAGATTACAATGGAAATTACAAAGAACTCTTACATGAGTTCTTTCCAGAAAAAGCATTTCATTTTTACCTATGTCAGCAGCACTGGCTTCCCTAAGTCATAGTTTATTTCATAGTATTGTGCTGTAAAACTATCCAACCTAGATAGTAGTGTCAATTTAGTTTCTGAAATTCAAATTTAAAAATGTGCTGGTAAACTGAAATAGTTGCTATTATTATTATTATCATTATTATAATTCATTGTACATGCCCTATTTTCAGCTGTTAGTCATATTCTTGGATCCTATTATAACATCAGTACATGCACATGTGCACAGACAGATTCCAGGCACACAAAAAACCAAACTCGGAGCCAAATCCTGATTCTCTCACTCAGGGAAGTATTTCCAGGTGCTGCTCTCGAGCCTGTTAACTGCAGTGGGATGGTACAAACAAAAGAAGTACCATTTGGTTCCTGCAGCCAGGAACTCTGAAATAGTTTGCCCTGAAAGTATGATTGCTGCTATTGCAGCAGTAAATTAGTCTGGAGAAATATGAATACCGTGTAGCAGTTAAATAGCAAATTGTTACAGTTTCAGCCAAGCAGAATTTGGGGTATTGTCAGTGACTCCAGTCAGTTTTCTATGCTCTAGTTTTTGACTTAGACTGATATCTCAATCAACATTGAAGGAAAAGTGGAGGAAGGATCAGAATGAAATTCACTAAGTCAGACAGAGGGCATTCATAAACCTTCGGGGATTCGTTGGAACATGTATTCAGAAAATAATTCAACATCAATATCTTCAATAAATTTTGAAATCACAGAAATGCAGTGTAACTGAAGCAGAATGTATTTATTCCTTAGCCTACTTGCTTAACGACTTGGGACTGCAGAGCTGCTGCACCTCTGTCCTTGTTTATTTCCCACTAATTCCTTTAGAGTCCATTAGCTAGCTTCAACTAATTTTGAAAAGAAAATGTTTAGATGAGTTTAAAATCCATCTAATCAGAGAAACTAGCTATAAAACACAAATATTAAGTGGACTTAGTTCCACTATTCACTTGCCATTATTTTTGTAAAATTTGCTCTATGAAGCACCTGCCTGAATCCAGCCAACATTAACAGTCACAGCAGTAACAATATATGTCTCAAATTAACACCTTCATTACAGTTACATCTAAAAATATTGGCTAGAATTTCTCAGAATTTAATCTTCTTTTTGTTCCATGGGTGATTTGAAAACTTGAGTGCTTCTTGCTGACCATCCTTTGCTGTAATTTCATGTAAAATTATCACTATGTGATTTGAAAACTTGAGTGCTTCTTGCTGACCATCCTTTGCTGTAATTTCATGTAAAATTATCACCATGTAGCGAGAAAACAGAATTGAGACACTTAGTTGACTTTGTATCAGTATCAGGCAGTCTCTAAAAGAATTACCAAACTCCAAAGATAGTACATTTAAATTTTGAGCAAGTGAGTTTTATTGCTGATGCAGGTAGAAATTTCAGTTTTATTCAGTTAGTTTTGTATTTCAAGTTAATGCATAGAACTATTTTTTAAGTTGAGGTGTCTTTTATGCAACACAGACATGATGAATATTTTGATATGTATATGCACCAGGCTAAACTGTCCTACAAATTTTATGTTTGAGTTGATAAAAGGATATCTCATAGTTTGAAACTTTCACAAGGAAAGAAAATCAATTGAAAAATCACCTGCATTGATTTTATCATTGGTTTTCACTCTTTGTGCAGTTTTTAAATATTCATTACAGTGCAACCTGCTGTTTAGACCAAAGTAACTGCTGTTCAGTAGAAGCAGTGGGCACTTTTTTGTTTCATAATTAAAAGAGCAGCACTGTGATTGGTGTGGTATTTATTATGAAATGATGACAAAGGGGTACCAGTGGTTTTAATAGTTTTAGCTTACAGGAGCTGTTGTTAATTTTGTCTGTGGAGTTGCAGGTGAAATAATGCACAGTGGATAAATAGTCTATATTGGTTTAACTGAACATAATATATAGTGTGTTCTGGAGTTGTTTGTCTCAATAGACTATAGTAATCAAAAGTAATGAACCTATTATGTGCAGGACCTTGGAGAGCATAGAATGGCAGTAAAAGTGTGGCACATAAAAGGTTTATTAAAGGAAATTAAAGTCCATCATTGCCACACCTGCTCCCCTATTATAAGTCTATGGCAGGTCAGTGCCTTCAATCACAACTCAGCATCAGAGAACAGAGCCATGTTTCCCATTACCATTGCAGTCACATTGCAAAAACTCGTTCTCCAGCTTTTAAGGATAGTAACAAGTAAAGGCTGCCATCAACCCCACTACATAAACAGAAGCCCCTCATGTTTTTCCCTCCTAATAATCAATATCAGATGTAAATTTAAACAGAGAAAAGGTATCATCTGGCTTTGATGTGCGTTTCCATCAATTTATATTTTCATTTCAGACATCACTAACCTGTGTTCTAGAATTACACTTCTTCAGGTCCATGAATATCCTTTTCAAATGTTTGTGTTCTCTCCTTCAAATATGTATTTTGATTCCAATAGCTGCTTATAATGTTCAAACATATATAAAAACAAATAAACACCAGGAAATTAGAGAAATTCTTTTTATTCTCTAGAAAGGGTGACTTTACTCTTTTTATTTCTCAGGTCAATTTTGTCATATTCTGCAATGTTCTTTCAGATAAGACCTTCAAAACATCTCAGTAATCTGAGTCACATAGGGCTAAAAATAAAGCATACTCAGATCTTCAAAGTCTATAAATGGAAAAAGGCACAAACAGGACCTCTTGCATCTTTCCTCAGTTCAGTGCAGTTCAGCTGATCCTCAGAAAGAAAAAGTGAAGTAATAGACAGGATTTTCTGTTGACATCAGTATTTATCTTGTGACATTTTACAGGGAGAGATGCCAGGCAACTTCTGCTGTCCACATCTACCTATCACCCAACACAGTTTTATAAATCAAACACTGGTGACTGCAAACTGATCTGCAGAAGCCCATGGTAGTTGCTTTGTCTACAGTATATTTGATCATCAACACTTTACAAACAGGGAAACCGAGATTCAAGCAAAGATAGATAACAAGGTTCCCTCAGAGACAGAAGAAAAATTCCATAGTTCCCAACATTTTGCTTAGACAAAATTCCTGGTGATAGAGTCTTTCTTATGTAAAAAGTGTTACTTTTAGAAAGGAGTTTGTCTCCCTGGATATGGTCAAAATTGCACTGTTGTACAATCTGCTATATGTCACTGCAGTTCTCCACAGCACAACATGAAATCTTAATCCCTTTGAATTTCAGAGGTTTGCAATAAAATCCATGGATTGAAAACCTGCCCCTATAATTATGTCTCTGGGCCACATCCAAGACCAGAAGGTGCATATTTCCAGTTTGGGTTTAGATGTAGCCAAAAGTGTAGTGAGAACAGCTGATCTTGAGAGGACTCTCTTATTTCAGTTCGAAAACTTATGACAGCAGCTGACTTCTGAGGGGGGGTGGTCTGGGATTTTTGATTGTTTGGGTTTGGTTTCTTTCAATGTAAAATACAAATCTGGACACTATATTCTCCCAAAATAAATCTGTAACTCATTGTCTCTAAACAAAACTTATTTAAGAAGTAGTTGATTAAGTGTTGAAGAATTTCAAAGCTGTATATGTGTAGCTATGCAATGTCAAACAAGAAGGTTTAATGTTTTAAGGACAAAGTTGTCACAAATGCAGGTTCCAACATAGCTATAGAGCTATGCCTCAGTCACATTAAAAATGCAGAGTTCCTGTAGTCACGGCAGCGTTCTGGGATCTTTTATTTCAGGAGGTGGATGCTGAAAGCAGCACTCATGCAGCATTACTCTTTCTAACCTTATGCCTTCAGCTAACACCTGTAGACCTCATCATTAAACCTTACAGAGTCACTCATAACCATCACTTTATTAAACAAATCTGCATCATTAAAGGTATCTCCTAGGTATTTACTAGATATTCACAGATGGCTTTTTATCTCTTTGACAAGATTAATAAGGCATGATTATTCTTTTTTTTCTATTACTGTCTAGCCTTTGGAAATGTGAAAAAAAAAAAAGCATTGGAGTATTTTTTTTCTCAATGGCAAAAGGTATGAATTAAAGACCTTGTGTTAATATTACAGATGGATGCAGATGGGGAAAATAAAAAGCTGCGCACACGCTCCAAAGGAACCAAGGGTGAGTTAGCAAGCACGCTCCACAACCCTGGGCCCAGATCACCATGAAATATCACAGTTCCTGTGCACAGTCCTTAATGTGCAGCGAGAGACTCTGTAGCTTCCTTACGGCTGCTTTTTCAATCAAGGCAGGACACAGACTGCTGGCATTAAGAGACACAATGATGTTATTAGCTATGGTATAAAGAAAAGCCAAAAAAAAGTCTATTGATGTTATTTCCTTTGAGTTATTTTTCAGAGAAAATAAAGGTTACCCTTTTTATTATTAAAAAAAAAACAACCAAAAAAACACGCACAAAAAAAAACCCCAACAAAAAACAACCAAACGAAAAACAACCCCAAAACCAACCAAAAAGCAAAAAAAGCAAGAAAACAAAAAAACCCAAACTTATTTTCCACAGTGAATAGAGTTGACAACATTGAATGGATGCTTTAAAAATAGTATATCAAAACTTTGTCTCAGCCACCTGAATGTTTTTCTGTCTATTGCCATTAATTATCTATAAAATAGTTGTGTAAGTGGTCCAGAAGTAAATCTTCTTTAATCAAAAGTTGTAGGTGTATGTGGCAGAAGAGAACCTTGTCCTTTTTTTTGAAGTATTGGTGCTCATGTTTCATTTGCAAAGTTATGACGTAGTTGTATTTCCCAGATATTACTCTCTTTTTGTAAGGAACAGATGGAAATGCAGTACTGAGAGATAAACTGGTCCTTAATGATCTCAACATCTGGAGAATATGATTGACTAGCAGTACAGCCCTTCCAGGAAAATAACTTTTAATTCATAATGCTTTTTGTGAATCTTGATAACAAGTGAAAAATGGATATACTTAAAAATAAACGTCAAAGGTTTGCTTACCTTGTGAACATTTTTGCTTATGACTATTTTCAGAGGCAAAAAGCACCCACCCTTCACTCTGATTTTAATGACAATTGTGCATTCTCAGGGTTGTGCAAAACAGACTACTTCTATTTGTTGTCACAACTCACTAATTTGAATTTTTAACATTGTGCCTTCAGATTCAGTTATGGTCAGAATGAAAAATTAGAATGGTTTGGCATTACTTCTCTATTTTCAAATGATCAAAGGGGCAAAAAGTGCTAGTCTTCATTCAGGGAAAGACATTGAAGTACCACAGGCTGACTGCAGATAGAGGGATAAATAGGGACAAATCTTTCAAAAAACATAATCATTATCATACCAAAAATTTGATACAGCCCATAGTGGTGATGACTGAAATTAATATAAAATTCGTATATATATTTCAAAAGTACTGAACAGACAACTTGGACAGTCGCTGAATAGGAAAGTAATTCACACCTCAGCTTTACAGCGTGTCCTTGCTGGTCAGGACTGTGAATTGAAACAGTTTGGCTGGCATAGCAAACTTTAGTTGTAGTTAATAAGGATTTCATACCCTTTCACTTAAAAGGCTAATAACACAATTTTAAAACTTATGGATTTTTTTCCCCCATGTTTTTACCCATGGGTATACACTCTTATAACAATTAATGAATATATCAAGAACATTTTTCCCAGAAGTGGAAACAACAAAAGTTGCCTCTGCAATATGAGTAATCCTTAGAGACACCTGTTGGCCTTGTCAGTATGCTGTATACTCTTGTGTGGGCAGGAATTTGTAAACACCAGCCTTTGCAAATCCCAAACTGATTTTAAATTCTGAAAAATAAGAGATTTTTAATTCTATTTTCAGGAAAAACAAGGGTCTTTGCTTTTACTATTTTGTTATTTTTTTTTATTTTCCTTATTCTTCCAGTGAACATCATACTCCAGGTTTTATTCATCCTAAAATAACTGTGAGAATTACATGTTCATTTAGCATTTGTCACTAGTAGCTACAATCCTGTGGTTAGCATGAAATAACCACCTGTGTTTTGATAGCCACTCCTCTGTCATTACAGATAGTCAGGTGCAAGGCTGCAGAAAGCACAAGTCTGGAAGTGTAAATTAATTAATTCTTTCCTGCTTTTATTAACAGTTCAAGTGGACTCTATAGCTCAAGAGCTCAGGTAAGAACTTACATTGTTGTTTTTTTTCAGTTTTATTTTCTTATTATATTGACAAATTTATACCACTGCTACTGCTATAAAATAAAGAATCGAACAATTTGTATTTTGTAAAGCTTTAGCATGGATCTGAAAAGGATAATTTTTGCGGATTCAGTTTTTAGATATAGAAAAACTAAAGCAAAATGTTTATTATGCAAGCATAATCAAAAGTAATGTGAAGTGGCGACGATTCTGGTATGTTGTCCTTATTTTCAGCCTATGTCAGGGCACAAAACAAACTAATTTCTGGTGAATCTTTAGATCTTCAGTATTCCTCTTTTTCCTGTAGTATGTATTATAGTATTTCAATATTTGAATATTATAAGAGATATTAATATATTTTACTAGGTGACTTTTATAAAACCAACCTACATACTCCTGCAAATTCTAGATGCACTAATGGCTCATTCTTCCTTAAGTATTTGTTGAGGTTTCATAGTTTATGGAAGTTGCAGGGAGTATTTCTCAAACTTGCACAAAGAATGTCTGTCCATTCAAAAATTACACAAGGATATTTCAGACTGCAAATATTCTACTAAAATTTCAACATAACTAATCTACCTATGTGTGCACCAAATCCTAATAGATGCCCCAAAAGTTTAGACTAAACTCTGGAAAGACTGGCAGGTTAGTCTGTACCAAATCTTCAAGAAAGAAAATATTTAGAGGTACCTGCAAATTCCTAGAGTTATTAATCACAATTACAATTGATTACAGCTTCAATGTAAATACTTAAAAATATTTAGAGTTTTTGTAAATTAACTTATTTTCCCTACACTCACTTTCCATCACAAGATGCTTGCTTAATCACAGCAAGCATCCAAAATATGTGCTTGTGGGTTCATCCATCTAGGGAACAGAATCACATCATCATGTGATTTATTTGATCAACCAAAAATGCCCAATCGATTAAAATAGGACATGCAATATTTACAGGAAGTTATTTTCAGTGAAGACATACAATATTTTAAGGTTTTGTTTTATAATAAAACTGAGGAAATTATAAGCTTCTTATAGCTACTCCATGAACAGAAGTGTAGGCTAACTTTTTGGATAAATTATTCATGGTGAGTCACTCATTCAGCTCTACTGTGAATCTCATTTTTTTGTATGGCTTCAGTTTCCTGAGATTTAGTGCTTCTCCTTTTTTCCTCTGTGCATCGCTAATTTATGCACCAGAAGGATGCATTAATCCGAAGAGGCAGCCATCCAAAAAAAGGGATGGTCCATGTGTTCCTAAGAGAAAAATGTTTGAAAAATAGAGGATGTGCAAGTTTCTGCAACATCAGGGAAGCTGTGATTTATGTATTATCGATTGCTATAGTTTTTCCCAAGCAACTTTATTTTTTCCCTGTGAAATACTTGCTGTCTTAGGAACTGCTGTGTAGCAGATCACTGTGTCAGGGATGTGGACTACCTCCATAACGAAACATACATTGGTGTAAAACAGTGAGCTCAGAAAAGCATTATCCAGACCTTAACTTGTTATTTATAATTTCTGCTGTACCAAATTCCATATTGGGTATCCCCACAGTCAAGTGACTGACACACAAGTCAGGCGATCAACTTTCATGAATCTATTTGTCCATGAAAAAGTAGAGGGAGATGGACAGGGACAGCTTTTTTGGAAATGCAGCCACCAGTCTTCATTCCTGTTAGTCATACCCATATTATTGTAGGAAAACTATGGAACATTCCTCAAGAATTAAAGACTGAAATAGTCTGTTGTGTTCCCTGGATACAGATATTGGAACTACAGTCTTTTCTGACCAAGGTTCTAAATGCTGTGTTGGCTGAGAAATTTAAATCCATGTTTAATTAATTTCCCCTTTTCCCCTGGCTTATCCTATCTGACAAAGCACTTTTGCACTCCTTATTGAGTTTCTGTTACGAAGTGCCTTGGGATACTTCTACATGAAAGACACTACATAAGCTTACATGCTCATTTTGTGTTATTATTAATTTCATAACATTGATTGGTTCTAGAGCATTTGTTAGCCTTTTCTTATTCTGTAACTCATGTTTCACAAAAGTAGACAATAAAATAAATGAAAAGCAAAACAAAGAGTTGCAATGACCGATTAGACTCAATAAAACATGAAAAATTCTCGCTTCTAAATTTCAGGCATCGAAATCTTGCTTAATAGAATTCAATGCCAAAAAAACCTCTTGATTTCAAGAAAGCCAAGATTTCACTAAGAAAACTGGCTAATGTTGTTATCATTCATCTTCTCCTGCAAAATAGGACCTCCTTTCTGCATAAAAAAAATATATTTTTAGAAAAGCATTATCATAAGAGATAAGCCGGGTTTTGGATTTTTTTTTCTCTTAGTAAAATAATTAAAAATTCTCTTGCACTGCACTGACTTTTCAGAGAACAGACTTTTCTTTCAGGTATACACAACGATTTTTGTGTCAAACCTGCACTTATTTCATATAACTATATGCCCTAAGGAATCCAAACTTCCAGTAAAACGTAAATAATTTTCTTTATACATGAACACTATTAACATTTCTGTGTTATTAATTCAAATTTATTAGGGTTATTTTAACAATATCTACTGTATGTGCTGTAGTAGTATATTGAAGCATAGTATGCTGTACTTAGTAAGTCCTTCAAAACAGAACTGTTTCTCCTTGAAATATTGATAATTTAGTTATTAACAACATGATTTAATTTTTTATTTAGGAATTTACTGCTGTGGTGTTTTCACTGGTAGGTAAGCTACCTTAAGAAAAGATGAGTCTTTTTATCACAAGCCAAATATAGCAAGCAACAATGTGCGGTAGAAGAGAGTGTTGAAGCCGGGAGATCTCTGTCCCATACATTTGAGTTTAAATCTGACACCTTTTGGGCATAGAAGCTTTGTTGTATCCATCTTGTGTAAGAAGCAGAATGAAGAGGTCTTCTCTTAGACAATTTTGTCATGGACCACTGAAAGGACCGGGACCTTCAGCTGTGTTCAGGATTAGAATGGAAACCAAAGTAAAGTGAGGAATACTGGAGTGATGTATTCTCATTACTGTGTTTTATTTAACAGATGGGATACAGTACAATGAACCATCTGTAGGTTATGGAGTGGCATCTGGGTCAGACCAAGGAAGAGCAAATTGGATTGATCCAAGCACAGGATTGCGAAAGAATAGATCCATTTGGCAAAATCCATATCTGAATAGAAGGGATACCTTTTCAGAGTTAGATACAGGTGAAACCAAGTATTTTGGGCTTCTGTCACTGATGATTAATGTAGACTTCACAAGGTGCTTCAAATCATGGAGAACAGCATTGTAGTTTGGTGGGAATATTACACTTTCCCTTGCTTTCTGCACTGTTGCATCACTTCTTCAAAAGTAACAAAAATTACCTTTTTTTAAATCTGGAACTCTTGTTCCAGGTGTTGCGAGACATTTTAGATATTCAGAGAAGTTGAACTGCTCATTGTGTATGTACAGAGTTATGAGTACCTAGAATCCTTTAGCAGAGAGCGGACTAACAGAGCAGACCTGTCTGGGTATCTTCTTGTTAGAAGTAGTAGCTGGACAATTCAACCTTTTGCTGCTGTCTACTGATTAGGAGGGTGAGAAACCAGCAAAGCAATGGAACTAAAGTATCTCAGAAAGTCCGTGTTACTAAAATGTATTCCTTGCATTTTTACCTGTAACATTTTAAGAGGTACATTAATATATTGTTGTATACAAGTATATGACGACATGCCAGAAAGCACTTCACTAACTGAAGTAGCTATTCTTTATTATACATTGCTAAATATTTTCCAGGTTTTCTTTAAGAACTATTACCTTACATGTATGCAATTATAACTGAGCTCTGCTTCACAGTAATAGAATGAAGGTAGAGAGTTTAGAAGGGAATTTGCCCATTCAGGAAAAGATCATGGCATGAAAGAAAAGGCCTGCTCATGCCTAGCTGCATTTAGAAAGGAATGGCTGGCAACTCTTTTTCTGAACTTCATAAAGTAAGCTGATTTTTAAGAAGTATTTGTATGAAAAGAAAGCAGTAGTACGGCAGATGACTGGAGAAGGAGGTGAAAGTGATAGTCAGATGATGGAAGAAGTGAGCACATGAAGAAAAATCACACAAAAAGGCTCCAAGGTGTTCCTCAGTAAGAATTGAGATTATGGTTGATTTGTGTAGCTATCACCTTCACATTGGTGTTATCCCATAGCACTGTTTAGAAATGAGACAGAGACTGAGAAATCTGTTTGTTCCTAGCTGGCATCTGGAAAAGCTGTCAGGTTTGTCCCTTGGGCTTGGCTTCTGTTTCCACAGGAGTTGGTCAGAGACTGATTTTCTGGAAACTGCTGTGGAAAAGCACATTTGACATAATCCTGAATAAGCACATTTGGAACAGAAACTGAGGTGGACTCTTGCATTTCCTGGTGTCTCATCTGTCTCCCACTGGCAGAGAGTATGGGACCCTCTCAGTCCTTAATGCGCTTTGCTGAAACAAATTGTATCTCTGAATTCAAACAGACTTAGTAGTAAATGTTAAATGAAGATGGTCAATAGTTATAGCTACTGCCAGACATATCTGAGCTTCACAGAAAGTCTTTTTTTGCAACTGAAGATTGGATGCTGACAGCATACACTTCCAGCTCTCCTCCCCAGTGCTCCCCATGAAGGTAACTGGCTCGGGCAGAGCTGTGCCACCTTGGCATTTAAATATTTCTACATGAAATATTGGATTAAGCATTTCACCTGAGTCAAAGAGCTGTATCATGCTGTTTCTATTGATAACTGATCTTCAATTAAACAATGGGCATTAATCTCAAGAGTAGCTATTCCCAAGATCTGTTAACAGAATGAGTTAGAGTATCTGCTGCTTGCTCTTTAGCTTGGAAAAGGAACTTCCTCCCTGCCCTAGCCATTGTAGAAATTGAAATGGTTATGGGGTGCTGAAAATATTAACCTCTGTCTCTTACTCCATGACTTCTGGTACAAG